CATTACGATTTATATAGGGAAATCAATGATCTGCTGTTATGCTCAGCTGGGTAAGCAATCTAGCAGAGCATTCCAAAATAAAGTGTAGAAATGCTTTGCTGGTATGCTCAGCTGGGTAAGCAATCTAGCAGGCCATTACTAAATATAGTGTAAAAATGCTCTGCTGGTATGCTCAGCTGGCTAGGCAATCTAGCGGGGCGTTCCAAAATATAGCGTAAAAATGCTCTGCTGGTATGCTCAGCTGGCTAGGCAATCTAGCAGGGCATTCCTAAATATAGTGTAAAAAAATACTCTGCTGTTATACTCAGCTGGCTAAGCAATCTAGCGGGGCATTCCAAAATATAGTGTAAAAAGCTCTGCTGTTATGCTCAGCTGGCTAAGCAATCTAGCGGGGCATTCCAAAATATAGTGTAAAAATGCTCTGCTGTTATGCTCAGCTGGCTAAGCAATCTAGCGGGGCATTCCAAAATATAGTGTAAAAATGCTCTGCTGTTATGCTCAGCTGGCTAAGCAATCTAGCGGGGCATTCCAAAATATAGTGTAAAAATGCTCTGCTGTTATGCTCAGCAGGCTAAGCAATCTAGCGGGGCATTCCAAAATATAGTGTAAACATGATCTGCTGGTATGCTCAGCTGGCTAGGCAATCTAGCGGAATCTAGCGGGACATTCCAAAATATAGTGTAAAAATGCTCTGCTGAATTGCTCAGCTGGCTAGGCAATCTAGAAGGGCATTCCTAAATATAGTGTTAAAAATGCTCAGCTGGCTAGGCAATCCAGCAGAGCATTCCTAAATGTAGTGTAAAAATGTTCTGCGGGCAAGCTCAGCTGGCTAAGCAATCTAGCAGAGCGTTCCAAAATATAGTGCGAAAAATGCTCTGCTGGTATGCTCAGCTAGCTAAGCAATCTAGCAGGGCATTCCTAAATATAGTGTTAAAAATGCACAGCTGGCTAGGCAATCCAGCAGAGCATTCCTAAATATAGTGTAAAAATGTTCTGCTGGCAAGCTCAGCTGGCTAGGCAATCTAGCAGAGCGTTCCAAAATATAGTGCGAAAAATGCTCTGCTGGTATGCTCAGCTAGCTAAACAATCTAGCAGGGCATTCCTAAATATAGTGTTAAAAATGCTCAGCTGGCTAGGCAATCCAGCAAAGCATTCTGAAAATTAGTGTAAAAATGTTCTGTCGGAATGCTGAGCTGTCTAGGCAAACTAGCAGGGCATTCTTAAATAAAGTATAAATTTCGTTGGTCTGCAACTGATTATTTGGCACTCGTAGACTTTCTGAAATATTTAGTGCCAATGCAGATAATGACATTTTTGACTTCTACGGGACCCTCAAGTGTCTATTCCTTTGGTCTCCGACTGATTCTGGGACGATCGCAGACTTTCAGGAATTTTTGGTGTTAATGCAGATAATGACATTTGTGAATTTTTAGGACCATCCAGAGTCCATTTCGTTGGTCTGCGAATGTTTCTGGAACACTCGCAGACTTTCAGAAATTTTCGGTGCCAATGGAGATAATGACATTTTTACTTCAAAAGGACCCTCCTGAGTCTATTTCGTTGGTCTGCGACTGATTCTGAGTCACACGCAGAATTTCAGGAATTTTGGTGTCAATGCAGACAATGATATTTCTGACTTATTGGGACCTTTCTGAATCCATTTTTTGGTCTACGACTGATTCTGAGGCACTCACAGACTTTCAGGAATTTTTGATGTCAAGGCAGATAATGACATTTTTTACTTCTAGGGACCATCCAGGATCCATTTTTTTGGTCTGCGACTTAATCTTGGACAGTCACAGACTTTCAGGAATTGTTGGTGCCAATAGAGATAATTACAATTTATGACATTTTTGACCATCCAGAGTCTATTTCGTTGGTCTGCGACTGATTATTGGGCACTTGCAGACTTTCAGGAATTTTTGGTGCTAATGCAGATAATGATATTTTAGGGTAAAAATGCTCTGCTTATGACTAAAGGGTTCTTAAAAGTAAAAAAGTCATGATCTGCAATGGCACTAAACATCCTGAAAGTCTGCGAGGCTCAAGGAATCAGTCGCAGACCAAAGAAATGTACTCTGGCGGTTCCCTAAAAGTCAGAAATGTCATTACCTCCATTGGCATCAAATTTCCTGAAAGTCTGCAAGTGTCCCAAAATCAGTTGCAGACCAGCGAAATGAACTCTGGTGGGTCGCTAGAAGTCAAAAATGTCATTATCTCCATTGGCACCAGAGATTCCTGAAAGTCTGCGAATGTCCCAGAATCAGTCACAGACCATAAAAATGGACTCTGGCGGGTCCCTAGAAGTAAAAATTGCCATCATCTCTATTGGCACCAAACTTTCCTGAAAGTCTGCAAGTGTCCAACAATACGCTGCAGGCCAATGAAATGGACTCTTAAAGGTCCCAAGAAGTCAAAAATATGATTATTTCCATTGGCACCAACCATTCCTGAAAGTCTGCGAGTGTCCAAGAATCAGTCGCAGACGACCAAAATGGACTCTTGAGGGTCCCTAGAAGTCTTAATTGTCAATATCAGCATTGGCACCAAAATTCCTGAAAGTCTGCGAGTGTCCTTCAAAAAGTCGCAGGACAATGAAATAGTCTCTTAAAGGTCCTTAGAAGTCAAAAATATCATTATTTCTATTGGCACCGAAAATTCCTGAAAGTCTGCGAGTGCCTCAGAATTGCCTAGAAGTCGAAAATGTCAATAAAACTTTGGCAACAATAAATCCTGGAACTCAGAATCAGTCTGCCAACTGAGCATTCCACCAGAGCATTGTTAACTATATTTCGGAATGCCCTGCTAGATTGCCTAGCCAGCTTAGCATTCCACCAGAGCATTTTTACACCATATTTAGTAATGCCTTGCTAGATTGCCTAGCCAGCTGAGCATTCCACCAGAGCATTTTTTCACTATATTAAGGAATGCTCTGCTATAGTGCCTAGCCAGCTGAGCATTCCAGCAGAGCATTTTTTCACTATATTTAGGAATGCCCTGCTAGATTGCCTAGCCAGCTTAGCATTCCAGCAGAGCATTTTTACACTATATTTAGTAATGCCCTGCTAGCTTGCCTAGCCAGCTTAGCATTCCAACAGAGCATTTTTACACTATATTTAGTAATGCCCTGCTAGCTTGCCTAGCCAGCTTAGCATTCCAGCAGAGCATTTTTACACTATATTTTGTAATGCTCTGCTAGATTTCCTAGCAGCTTAGCATTCCACCAGAGCATTTTTACACTATATTTAGAAATGCCCTGCTAGATTGCCTAGCCAGCTGAGCATTCCACCAGAGCATTTTTTCACTATATTAAGGAATGCTCTGCTATAGTGCCTAGCCAGCTGAGCATTCCAGCAGAGCATTTTTACACTATATCTAGTAATGCTCTGCTAGATTGCCTAGCCAGCTTAGCATTCCACCAGAGCATTTTTTCAATATATTAAGGAATGCTCTGCTATAGTGCCTAGCCAGGTGAGCATTCCAGCAGAGCATTTTAACACTTTATTTAGTTATGCCCTGCTAGATTGCCTAGCCAGCTTAGCATTCCAGCAGAGCATTTTTACACTTTATTTAGGAATGCTCTGCTAGATTGCCTAGCAGCTTAGCATTCCACCAGAGCATTTTTACACTATATTTAGAAATGCCCTGCTTGATTGCCTAGCCAGTTTAGCATTCGAGCAGAGCATTTTCACACTATATTTAGTAATGCCCTGCTAGATTGCCCAGCCAGCTTAGCATTCCAGAAAAGCATTTGTTCACTATATTTAGTAAAGCTCTGCTAGATTGCCAAGCCAGCTTAGCATTCCAGCAGAGCATTTTTACACTGTATTTAGTAATGTTCTGCTAGATTGCCTACCCAGCTTAGCATTCCAGCAGAGCATTTTTTCACTATATTTAGGAATGCTCTGCTAGATTGCCTAGCCAGCTGAGCATTCCAGCAGAGCATTTTTACACTTTATTTAGTAATGCCCTGCTAGATTGCCTAGCCCGCTTAGCATTCCAGCAGAGCATTTTTACACTATATTTCGTAATGCTCTGCTAGATTGCCTAGCAGCTTAGCATTCCAACAGAGCATTTTTACACTATATTTAGGAATGCCCTGCTAGATTGCCTAGCCAGTTTAGCATTCGAGCAGAGCATTTTTACACTATATTTAGGAATGCCCTGCTAGATTGCCTAGCCAGCTTAGCATTCCAGCAGAGCATTTAAACAATATATTTAGGAATGACCCGCTAGATTGCCTAGCCAGCTGAGCATTCCAACAGAGCATTTTCTACACTATATTTAGTAATGCCCTGCTAGATTGCCTAGCCAGCTTAGCATTCGAGCAGAGCATTTTCTCACTATATTTAGTAATGCCCTGCTAGATTGCCTAGCCAGCTGAGCGCTCCAGCAGAGCATTACCTTCCCTATATAAATTGAAATGCCTTTTTGCTTAGCTCACTGTTCACTGCTAACTTCTCACATACGGTAAATTTCAGCTATCTGCCAACTGCCGCCGGTAATACGGTGTGTAAGGGATTCCATTTCACTATTTTTTTTATTCTTTTCAGTATTACGAAAATATACCTTCTTTTTGTCACTGTTTATCATAAAGGCATTGTGCAATGTATAACATGTGGTAAACATAAATTAATAAAGATTTTTTATTATCCTATCGGATCGGATAGTTGTTCGCACTTGTACTATTGAAGTATACTTTCACAAATTGCAGATATGATGTAATTAATTATCACTTTTATAATATTTACGTGAAATACATATAGACAAGATACTGTTATCGTTACGTATGATGATGTCACGTCATCGTCATGCTATGTAAACGTTTGTTTTTGTCTCATATTATGAACAGAAAATAAAACTCGGCACGCCGGTTACGCTACGTCAAGTAACATTATCCTGAGAGGGGAGATCACTGCGTGGGAGGTAGCAGAAAAATAACAGTTTTTTACATTTTGTTAGAAATCGATGTTTGTGACGTAACATTTGTTACATACCCAGCCTGATTCCTGCTGAGATGTTCCAACTTTTCTACAATTAAGGATAAGAGGTGGTATTTCTTCCGCGTTTTGATCAGTGTTCAGTTCGTTTTCTAATGTCACATTTCGGGTTAAATTATTGAACGAATAATAGCTATGCTCAGCCTGGACTATTTCTATCTGTGTAACGTCACCCTCGATGACCACGTGACCAATTACAGTTTCTGAAAATGAGAAGGAGGTAAAGGTAATGGATGGACGTAAAGAGTAATTTAGGCTCTACAAATTCGATTTTAATTATTACAAATTTCATATATGAAATTTAGATCATTTTCTCATCTGAAAGTGTGTTATGATCATGGAATAAAGTAATTATTCAAATAAAATATAAATATGTAAGTTAAATTAAAAGTTTTTTTCCACAGTGATCAAATTGTGGATTTAATATGTTAAATTAAATCGAATATTAACTCAAAGATCAAAATATAAAGAAGTTACTTGGTCGCGTATTTTCCATGATATTCTGAATGAAATATTCATATCCAAGTTGAGTCTGGCATAATTCTGAAAATACAATATAACAACAGATATAAATGTATATCGAAAATGTTCTTTAATAACTAAAACAATTTTGCTTTGTATATTTGTACATGTACATGTACTCGTATATAGGTATGTTTGATAAAGGGATATCATTAACATCAACACAATTATTATGTAATACATTATATTCAAAATGTAAGGTATGATGGGGGGGATGACCCCGATCCCCTCATACCTATTACATGGTAAATAAGCGGGGTTACCCAGACGGGGCCTTAAAAGCTCTGGCTGTGTCATGTTTAATAATCTTATAAAAAATATTTTAAATCTTATTCAAGTTGTGCCTTTTTTCTAACAGAATATCAGATTTGACCAAAAAAAACGTCATTTCCAGTTGTTCATATTTTTGATCACATAAATTTTGCGTTTTCATTGAGCTATACTGATATTTTGTTTTTATATTTTCAGTCACAAATAAAGTGCTTTGATTTGTAACTTACCCAGTGCTTGAACTTGAAATATAACAAGGGAGACTATCAAACAAGGCACCTTCCACATTGTTGAGCTGAAAAAAACACAAGTTATCTTTTTCCAAGGGGAGAAACTCGGTATATAACATTATCAATATAGAAAACAGAGTTGTCTCCCTTCTTTGGTCTCGTAATGAAGTAAAACAAATGTATGGTAATTATGTATGCATAAATGGGAAGCATTTAAATTATAAGATTTAATTTTACCAGATGAGAAGACAAAGTATTTTATTATTCATTTATTCAAAGCGTTACATTTATACTAACAATAAAAAACACAAATTGCGTGATACTTGTTTATTATAGTATCAAACTATCAACAAATCTTCAAATCATCGGGCCCGCGTCTCAAATTCTCAACTACCAGATTATTTGATAGGCTCAACATTTTTCTGAATATATATTTATGCCTTTAATTCGGTTCAAGTGGTCATCGTGTTTACGATATATCATTCAGGGTGACACCGGCCATGCAAATTTTGAATAGGTCCCATGAACACGTTATCTGTCACAAAACCATTGGTTTATGCGAAGTCAAAAATTTTATATGACAAACGACCGTAATAAATTTGAAACCCGAAACTATCGCCTCAACGCTTTGACATTGTATTAACTCAAATATTTTATCTCTTGCATGAGATGAACAATTCGTACGATGAGCTTAATTCTTTTGATAGAAATATTTAAAAATGCGCAAAGTATTCCAAAACTGCAGTGGTATGAAGAACGCGAAATGCATTTGTTTTGTTTACAAATATTTATTCGCAAATTATTCAGCGGGTTGATATATTCTGATTAGATTTAAGATGTATTTTATTTCCTCTGCGTAGAGATATGGTGATACCTTTCCAAGATCAAAATGATATATTCTGTATTGTAATTCCTGTTTGTTTTGTTGCTGGAGATTATGCAATAAAAACAATTATTTACACTTCACATTTAACGAATTATAGGAGAAATTCACGTCACATGTAATAGAATAAGCGTCCCTCATACCATCACGTGACTACGTCCTAGAAACTCTAACTGAAACCTCGACAATACATAAGTTTTCATTAAACATTTAAGGGGTAAATATATCTTCAGAATTTGAGAAATCGTTAAAAATAATTGCACAAAAATATGCCCATTAAAATACATGCCGTGTCTATTAAATCAACACAATTTCACGTCTTATCAAGTGAAACATCTTAATGCTCGGTTTGTAATTCAACAAATGAAACAGAGTGTTTACAAACATATGAAATATCAATGCATAAATGCCTGCATTATTAAATTTGGGTAATTTTGAAATTGACTTCATGCGAAAATAAATATGTTGATTTAAATGTGATATGAGGATAATAATGATAAAATATAAGATATAAGCCTCGTTCTGAGATGATGGTGTGATAATTGTGTTATTGCCTTAGATATATGCCTCGTTCTGTGATAACGTTGCAATAAGTAAAATATTGCACTCCTCAAAATAGAAAAGCACACTGCTACAAGGAATGAATTTATATTACATTTTGAGAAATCTTCATGTTTGTTGAATTCTGAATTCTGCAGAAGTAAGAAAAATAACCAGTTAGATTGAAAAAAAAAACAAACTTCAGTCTATTTTCATAATGTAACAGGATATGTTATATAATAAAACAGAAAAAAATATGCAAAAGAAAATAAAGAAATCTACTCAGAAATGAATTGAAGATCATATTTTGTGCTATTCCTAGATATTTTGGGTGAAAAGCGTTGCAATTTTGGGTCAATTTTCACAATTAAAATAATTATTTAGGGAAAACAGAGCGAGCGAATGGTCTGAAATTTGCACACAAGTTATTGGTCTAGACCCACATCAAATGGAATGTTAATCTCGAAAAATTATTTAGTTTCGTCATGTCAAAAAAAAAAACCCTCAGTGCTTTAAATGATAAAAAATGTTAAAACGAGAGATTTTCTTAAAATTTAAACTCATTATCTTGTTAAAGGTCTGTCTAATGGCATTACAAAAGTCTATAGTCTAAAGAATATTTAAAAAATGAAGACTTAGTCACGTGATTTAAATCGACTACATGCTCTTTGCACGTGATAACGAATCCTATCGTTCGATAAAGTGGAAAATATTGATGACCGAAGAATGTCGAAGAATACCGGAGAATACCGAGGTAACACAAAGACGAAATAATTAACGATTCCAATATATCGTTTTATTATTGTTTGTTTTTTTTAGAATGGCAAATCATATCAAATTAACGCGGAACATAAATTATGAGAGACTTCAGCTGTTTGCTAGAGGAAGAAAATATCAGAAGATTTTGTTTGTGATATAAGCAAGTGAGTTTTTGTTGTAGTTTAAACACTGTCTTACTTATCCATACCACTTTTAAAAACAAACACTTACAAACACAATACAATGGCCTTTAACAAACCGTTGTTTAAGTTTTGACTTAAAGATATGCCGAGCATAGCTCAACAACAACACAACAATCAAGCTGCAAGCTCTTGGTATTTTCTGACTTGCAACTAATCGTACTTATATCGTAATGTTTTCCTGATAAGGTTTTGCGTCCCGGCGCAAGTTGAAAGGGCACAGCAACTCTCGAGCCTTTAACGGACAAATAAAACCGTTATTTCCACGACCAGTATAGGTCTGGACTGCGGTCTGGAACCACAGTAATGGACGCGTTGTAACTTGAAGGCCATGGAAAGCCTACGTACCTTTCGTTAACCATTGAGAAGCATGTATCTGTAAACAAGACATGAATGGTTAATTGAGCCTTTCGGAAACTGGATAAATACCGTTGGCTGGTACGATACAGATAATTCTCTAGGGAATTAGACACATAATTAAGAACAAAAAACTATTACGTGATATTTTTAATTTTCTATAATTATGTTACCGTTTAAGGTGGAAAAACTTGAATGATGTGTTTGAAAATGATCAATGTTTCTTTAATATGTATCTCAAAATGTTACAAACAATAAATTGTTTATACTGAAAATCTACAAAATTAAAATATTCGTAGTGGCATCTGCCATCATAAATACTTGTGTGTTTACTTTTTTTTTTGCTCGGAATTATTCATAAAATGGTAGGCCCTATTTAATTATTTTCTTAAAAAAGAAATAATTGTTTATGTTCGATCTTCTCCGGTCATCAAACGTCACCAGTTTCCCAAAGACCTTCTATATTAATCGATTACTGTCAAATATATCCAGATACAAACGTTTATTTATCCTCGCCCACCCCCTGAAAATAGTTAAATGAAATATATTAATATCATTAAAAACGTTCCCGCAGGAAACCATTTTATTATTAAAAAATGAAATGTCGCGATATATACAATGAATAGCGAACTGGAGAATTTCGCAATGCAAACATTTTCAAATGAAATAACCTTTTCCGTCAATAAATCGCGCTCTTCGGTGTATTTTTATTTATCATTTTTGTAGTACAACAGTGGGTTATTATGGTTCATGTATCCGAAAGCTGAATAGAATGATGAGTTGGTGACCTATATATTCCGAAAATCTATTTATAGAGGGGTGTATTCCAATCGGTAATTCCCGGTCTCTCCTGGTCTATTTTGACCGGAATTTACTAGTGACCGCGAATAGTACCACACGTTTATTGTCCGTCTCTCCCGGTTTTCGAGTAGATGTTTGATATCGTTACAGAACAGAACAAATATTTACAGTTATATAAGTTTTTCAAAATGAATGTTTGTCACTTAGTTTTGGTTACAATAATTAATGAACACAGATCAACTCTCAAATTTATTGATTATTATTATACATAAACATACAATTCGAAAAAAAAAACCCAACAACAACAATAACATGTTTTATAAACATGATAAAACACTGATACGTTTGTATCAGATAAAAACAATAAATATGTACAATAATTGAGAAAAAGGTACATTTTTTATGGTATTAATATGACACTATCAACTTTGAAACATTTTATTTAATTTGTTTATTCGTGTTTAGTAAAGATGCCGAGGAATTATTCAAAGTTACAAATTAGATTTTTATGAATTATTCAATTGATTGATAATTTAAAAAATGATAAAGAAAAAATACAAATGTACATGTATATGTTTTAAGAATAAACAATATTATAAATTAAAAGTTTAACCATAATTTACTGACTTTTTCCAGTTAAGTTTTTACTTAATATAATCGTCGTCAATATGACAATTGAATTCTTAAAATATTAGTAAACGTAAAAACTCAGTATTAAAATAGCACATAAAACACACAAAAAAGAAAGAAAACAAATTCATAAAATCTGTATTTTTTATTACATTATTGTATAATAAACAATAATGCTCAACACGATCGACATGGTAATGTAACCAGTGTCATATAGTTTATTAATTAGTGTGGAGAGATACCTTTAGAGGGGGTCTTCGCTAATAGCGATAACATAATAAGGAACAAGTGTTGTGTTGATCATGGCATTTACACATATGGTTATAAATGATTGTATACATGTATATCCGTTTGCTAAAAATCATTTATGTTCATTTTTTATGATAGCCACACTTTTATCCTTGCATATCGTGGCTATTTCCAACAAAGACACTAAAAAAAGAATTTAAAAAAAAGTTGACTCGACTGGGATTTGAACTTCCAGTCCTCTCACACGTGAAACGAGCGCGTTACCCCTGCACACGGACAATTTATAAAAATAGTAGTTGAATAAAATCAAGTCATTCGTAATTTATAATTTCCATTGCATTTTGGGTTAGGGTAATTTCGAGGTATTTTGTTCAGGGTAAACCTGTTGTTTAAAATTGAAGTAAATAATTTAGCAAAAATCTTCTCGCCCAAACAGTCCAACATGTAGAAACTATATATTCAACTACTCGACAGTCAGATTTATTTGTGTAGTATTCGGTCATCGATATCGCTAAAAATAGCATTTTCATTGATTAAATCATATTCATCCGCGTAATTGTGAGTGTGCATTATTGACAATCCATAAGCCAACGCTACTTTTAAAGTTAAAAATGTGTAGTAATTTGTTGGACACTTGTAACAAAAACTGTTCTTCATTTAAATTGCTGGTTTTTAAGCAGTTTTGAGTGAGAACTACATTCGTTGTTAGGACTGTTGGGAAATATTGTGTTAGACGTGGATGTTAGCTATGTATTTATCTGATCTTGCGATCAGAAAATACAAAAACGACTACTTACCATTTAACTTTCACAGATATTTCAGAACTTTGTTAAGGGTTGACTAAAAGTCTTTCTTCTTCTTGTAGATCAAACACTGTAGAATAAATGAAATAAAGTTTAGTAGACGGATGAATAAGAAAACTGAGTATCTAATACGGTTCTTAGAAGTTGTTTAAGCACTATAATTCCTTAACTTACATTTGATAGATATTAATCTTTCTTGCACAAAATCCTCTTAAACCCTAATGTCAAAATATTGCTCCGTTCTTTCTCTATCTTTCAGTAATTCATATTATTACATTTTAATAACACAGACATTAATCATATCATAAAACCACCGGACACTTCTTAATCGCTTAATATATCCAGAAATAATTCAAAGCACTAGCAACTCAACCCAAAGGTGAGCCAAATTTCGAGTCAACGCTGACCTTAAACAAATCGGCCATGACCCAAAAACGCCTAATTTTACAGTTTTTTTATCATGAGTGATCTAATACAAACTTCAAAAGAATTACTCAGAATTCCCGGTATCTAAAAAATATATTATAATATATTATTAATATATATCGGTCAATTGCACGTTTAATAACTCTAATGATCTGGTATAGAAACAATATGATATCAATATAAAATAAATATCAACAAAAAATGTTATAGTCAAATAATTTAGCAATACAGTCCACCTTCTCATCGTGATTCCACTGTAGAGGTACCCTTTCTAGAAGGTACCTTCTACATACAGACATATAACTGTTCCTAAAAGTAAAACTTCAAAGAGTAAACCTTTTAAGGCACCACCTCTTAACAACAATCAAACTTTTTTGTTGTTTCTTAGAATGTTGTTTCCCACAGGTTGTACAGTGTACTGCATATCGAGTTATGTTTATATTACGGACGAGGAAACTCACTTTAAGAAAATACATGTATATAAAAAGAAAAAAATATCATTGAATTATTGCTCTTTAATCAACGATTTTATAGGCTTTGAGTATAACAATATAACAATAAAATCATAAGATAATTAAGGTCAGCGGATATGATATTAAACAATGATATATCAGAGTGATTGATGAGATATTGACGCTTTAAAGGCACAGGCGCCAATAATTTACTTAATACGTATTAACCGTTATATATATGAGCCGTGTCACGACAAAACCAACATAGTGCGTTTGCGACCAGCATGCATCCGGGCAGTCTGATCAGGATCCATGCCGTTCGCTTACAAAGTCTATAACAAGTAGTGATACTGATAGCGAACAGCATGGATCCTGATCAGACTGCGCGGATGCGCAGCCTGGTCTGGATCCATGCTAGTCGCAAACCCACTATGTTGGTTTTGTCGTGACGCGGCTCATATTATCTTTTAATTCAGGATTTGATAGATCTTTTTTATATTATATTCAAGGCTGTTAGTTGATTGTATTCAAGTAGTTCATACTTTCCATCCGTGTTGAAAATGTAAGTAAAAACAATACCTTAACGGTGTTGATTTATTACCTATACATCCAATACACAATATTATTTATTCCAACATAATAAAATATATCGCATATGGCTGTACTCATTCGGCAGCGTTCAATAATAAGAGCGTTTATTAGGTGCAAAGCAAAATTCGAACAGTTCAAAGAGCACATCGGAATAGCAGTATATTCCGATAGTTAAGTCATGCCTACAGTATTTCAATCACCCAATAAGATACGGACAAATAAAGATGCTGTTTTATTAGCAAATAATTCAACAACAAAGAAGTACACGCATGGTTTACACCAATTTTTAAGTTGTTTTATTTGGACAATGTATATAATTAAGTACAAGCATGAATAAATGAAATAAATACATTGAGGTTATATTTATCATTTTCACATCCCATTATATCATGTTATTTTACTGACTGTGTTAGTGAGAGATGTGAAAGACGGTTGACCTTAATAAAGGACCTATAGAGGGAGGAGCACTTTCAAATCAATTTTTCTTTCTAACCCATCAACTTCTGAATCTCTTAAATATATTTGTCCAGCTTCCATTTTGGGAATTATCCAGTTACCAATTTTGGGGGATTTCAAGATGAAACATTAGTGTAAGTTAGCAAGCAGTATAGCGTCTGGTCTGGCTACACGAATGTCAAGGCTGGCCTGACTCTATACAAGATACAAAGGCTAATAACGTTCGATTCTTATAAGTTTTAGGTTACATAGCGAATTGATCGTGCAAAAATGCTAAATTCTTACAATCTTTAACATACATTCAATAATTTTTTAATATTTTCGTGATGCATTTTCGGAATGCTAAGCGTTTAAAGTACAAACAACTTGTAGAAAAGGGGAAAAAAAAGAAGAAAACAGATTAATCAAAAGAGCTTCTTCAATGAGCAATCAATTGCTAATATTTTGCGACATGTAAATCTAAACAAACTGACATTTTAAGTAACGTGGTGGAAATCTCGACATCTCGTCCATCAACATTTAAAGAGGCAGCAGACAGCTGTCTAAGCTGCAAGTCGCTTTTCTCTTATATATTGAGCCGCGTCACGACAAAACCAACATAATGGGTTTGCGACCAGCATGGATCCAGACCAGCCTGCGCATTCGCGCAGTCTGATCGGGATCCATGCTGTTCGCTTACAAACCTTATAACAAATAGAGAAACTGATAGCGAACAGCATGGATCCTGATCAGACTGCTGGTCGCAAACTCATTATGTTGGTTTTGTCGTGGCGCGGCTCATATATTGCTGATTTGAGAAATTTAGTTAATTTACACAAAGACAAATAACAGGAAAAACAATAATGTATATAATCCGTTATGTAAAGTGAAAGTTTGTTACGTGTATTGACATTTGAAGAGACACGATTTAGAGGAAGTAAGTGGCATATCTTATGACATTTGAATCATTGCTGACTAGCAGATATTACTGTAAAATTGTGTAAGAAGAAAAGCGACACTGGTTTTATTGCCAACCTTAATTTATTCTTCTCAGCAAAGGCCATGGAAGTAAAAAGAAGAGGACGTGAACATTGAGTTTACAGGTGACGATCATCCGTTCCATCCTATTTAAAGGAGTGGGGTTACCTTTTCTGTTGCAAATGTGAATTATTTATAATCAGCTTTTGGGATGCAAATAGAATCTTAGAAATGTGTCATTGACCAATTGCAAATCTTTACAAAGTAATTCGGCACTTCACGAGCCCTCTCTGAAAATCTGTATGTGTAAATCTTTCATTGTCTGTAACTTTAACAATGTCTGTAATGCGCTTTGTGGACAGACAGACAGAATGTTACATCTGCATTCCACCCCAACCCAAACTTTTTCAGCGCACTGTGTAAATAAAAGGCCACTTGAAAGTGCTGTCCGCTCTTTATATTATTGTATTGATTGCTCGCATTGAAAGGTATTTATTACCCTGAAATAATATGATGTATATGATGATGTACTATGAACAAATCAAAGAAATAAAAGTTCTGTTCTGTTCTGTTCTGTTCTAAAGGTCCTTGGTTAAGGTCAACCATCTTGCCCATCCTCAGATCCATCTACCTTTAACAGTATTGTTTTGCTTTTATCATAACAAAAACAGACAGTGCCAAATTTAACACTTTATGTGCAGTGTTTGATTGCGTGATTTAAACTTCATCTGTAATGTATTTTAAAAGTGCAATCTCTCCTTTAATAAAACATTGTGAAACTTTATCAGGAGTTATGATTAATTCGTGTGCGGAAGAAGAACACGGAATAAAATAATTGCCAATACCAAAAACACATTGTCAAGAAAACATTTGCCGGAAATACATTTCAACAGAAAAAAACCCTTGCAATTGCAGTTTGGAACAGAAACAAATTTTGCTTTAATTGTTTTATTTTTTCACGTTTGCTTTCTTAGAGAACTGATGTCAAAATATTCTTTGTTCGTAATGGAAATGCTTTGTTTTGAGTAATTATCAACCGGTGTATACGTAAAACCTAATCAGTTGTAATTATCGCACTTACGAAAGAGAAGAAAATCGGTAAAAGATTACCTGTACCATGATAATATTATCAATGAAAATAAATTTTACAACATATAACAATTATAACAGGATATTATCTTGATAACAAAAGCAGACGAATTGTTCGTCTGCTTCAATTACACAAACTGCATCTTGTGAAAATGGCGCGTGAAATGGGAAAGTTCTTTTTAAAAAATCGTTTGTTTGAAATATTTCAAACGAGGCAGAAACTATCAATTGAACAGCTTTTAATTGTAATATCTTAGCAAACATATTACAATGATAAATGCACGATATTTATGCTTTATTCGTTTCCTCGTAATTTCCTTTTGGTGTCCTTTGTACGGGAGAATCAAGGGTTTCAGCGAACCGGAAGTGCATCTTTTATAACGACTGGGATCACTTTTTACCCAAATAGATATGCAAAAAGTTTCTTTCATATAAGTATGTGCAAAAATGAAGTAATTCTAACCATGTCATTGCACTTAAGATATCAAGTTACTTAAATAATGATAAGGATTATGCTTATCCTTTAGAACTACTTTTTATAATAATATACATACATTTGTATACCAATATTTGTTGAAAGTATAATAAGGAATGAAAGCGAAACCTCGATAATGGCAACACAAGACTATTTTGTTTACTGAAAGTATTAACTACTACTTTAATGATAGTGATCGGGAATGTATTAAACAAAAAAACGCACCAAGTTTAGTTAAAGAACACGATATAAGATAAAAGGTCCGCGATCATTCCATTCAAATTATTATCATTAAATCTAAACTGGTCAAATTGTATTTGTATTCTTTAAGCTACCTTATTTTTAACGACCTGACGGTTGACGGAGAATGAAAGGAAAAGTGTCAACATAAGATGTGAAATTGAATATAAAAGCGCGGGAGTTGCTTTTGTTAAGCGACATTTGTCGCCGTGTTACGAATGAACCCCCGAGGGTTGCGGTGGTCAGTTGCGAACAGATCGTTATCAAGTACAGAAAAGTGTTTATATGTTTACAATTTTTGATGAAATCTGAATAATGATATAACAAAAAATTGTGTATACCATGTTATACATGGACAAGTTTCAATAATTTAGACAACACTTC